CGCAAGTTGTGCACGTTAAAGATCCCTTGGTGGTCTAAAATCGATAAGAGTAGAAACATTTTGCAAAAACCAAACCAAAACCACAATGTCAGCTGATGCGCTGTTCGCTGAGGCCATGAGCTCAGTGGCCATAATGCTGGCACTAAGGTCTTTTTTTTTCCTTTTCTGTGTTTGGGTTTTCTTTTTTGGTAAGTGTTTTACGGCGTTCGCAACTGCTTGAGGCCACATGAGCGCGCGGGGCACACTAAACATTTTCGGTTTATTCGAATTTTGGAATTTTGCCTGGGTGGCGGCAGAAGCCTTTGCTACTCTATCGATTTTGAATCACTAAGGATGTTTAACCTGCGTAGCTTGCGCACGGGTCCTCCATGATTTTTCGCCCTTGTCCAAGAATGCTAGGTGTTAGATCTTACCTACCATAAGATCAAGGCTGTGGTTGAGAGACAGCAGTAAGAAGGGGCCAAGGAGTAGCAGTGGAAAGGCTGCAGAAAGAGTTAGGAGCCCAGAGGAGGGGGCAAAGGAGTTGAGGGGGTGAGGTCATAATGTAGAGACGAAAGCAGACGACAGAACAAAGTTAGAGAGTAGGGAAGAAGGGGAAAGGAGAACATATGGAGAAGAAAAATTTTCCTTCGCTTTCCGGATTCGAACCCGGGACCTTTTGAATGAAAAGCGAACACCGTAACCATTCGACCACGAGAGCCCCCACTGAGGTCTGATGAGTTGCTCTGCCTGACCAGAGATCGCACAAACTATAACAACATGGTATTACGTTAGTTTCACTCTAATAAGTCGTACGCCTATCTCCTACTTTGTCGAAGTTCATTTAGTTTCAAATGCACGTTTATGTTACTGTAAAGTTAATATTTTCAGCGTTAAAAGATAGGTTTCTAGCTACAGACACGTATTACATGTACACCCACCAAATGTTATGAAAAGGGTGAAAATTCGGTAATTATAAGATTACAGACAAGCAGATCGACTGCCTGGTGTAAGAGTACGTCACACATCACTATCCAAAATGGCGTTTGGTTGAGTCTTACACACAGCAGTAGAGATAATTCTGATAAATGAGAAAAACAAAATTTAAAAAACAATAAACAAAACACAACTATACCAACAACAAAACTCCAATAAAGCAGCATCTAGCCAGTAGACCTGCTCACTTCTAAGGGATAACATTTACAGCGAGTGGGAACGCCTCACCCTGGGTGATCGATTGAGAATGATAATTATACGACATGCAAGTACAGTACATGTAGTGACCAGCCATGCAGGACGGGACTGGTCTGCCGCATATCAAAATGACCTTGGTCACAGGAGAAGCCGACACAACCAGCATCTATAGTGTAGCAGTTAGGCGCTTCTATGTTGCACGCAGGAGACCCAAGTTCGATTCTCGAGGGGGAAAGAATCTCTGTGGGGTATCTTCGTCTTTCTGACAGGGACGTTGTATCCCTCTCAGGCCGGGTCGTCCAGGGGCTCCTCTTAAACGGTCTACATTTTGTCGATGGCGGCAGGAACAACCTACATTAACAAGCCCCCCTCCCCCCTCCCCCTTTTACACACACACATACACAC